CCTTCGTGCGGGAGGCGGAGGCCAGGGACGAGGAAGGAGCGCATGATGCGGAGGGCCTGCAAGGAGGAGGTTGGGAAGTGGGGCAGTGGCGGGCGCGGCGGCGGCGGGCTTGGCGGTGAAGGGGGAGGCGGCTGCGGCGGCGGGTGCTCGGGGAGGGGCGCGCCTCTGCCGAGTGGGCGACGTCGTGGAAGGGCTCGGTCGCGTCCGAACCGCTAAAGAGGTGGAGGGAGGCGGCCATGCCAGGGTGGAGGGGCGCGAAGGCGGTCACGTCGTAGATCGCGTCGTCGATCAGCAGGACGCACCCCCGCGCCGCCGGCCTGGTGGGCCGCACTAGCCCACGCGCGACGAGCGCCTCATGCGTGACATTGCCGACGGCGATGCGCCCCCAAAATCCGTCCGACCGCCGGTCGGCGAGGCGGTAGTAGAGGGCGCGCCAGCCGCACGGGTCGTGCGGCGGCGGCGCGAGCGCCGCCGCGGGGATCGCCCACCCCTCGAGGTGGCCATACCGCCGCTGCACCAGCGACGCAAAGATGGGCGCGTCCGCCTCCTCGACGGCGGCGGCGAGAGTCGCGCTCGCGCTCGCGCACATGCAGACGGTGCGAGCGTCGCCGAGCCCGAGGATGTGGCCGATGACGGCGGCGGGCAGGCTTGAGAAGGGGTCCTCGAATCCAGCAGACATGGGAAAGGTGCAGTATCGGCGTCAGAAAAAAAAAGCGCGAGATCCGCGTAAGCGACTCCTGCGAGGACTTTAGGAGCCAACTCGCTCTCACAACACTAAGGCACGGAAGACAACGCACTGTGCACGCGCACTGGGCCTTGCACTTTTAATGCCGTGGGGCTCCCGTCGTTAGACGTGGAGACGCGAGGGTCGCCCCCCCTTGCCCACCACCTCGTGTGTGTGGAGAAGTTTACCTTACCTTACCTTACCTCCACCGCACCACCGGACAACCAATCGAAGACGCACCTCCAGAGACGCACGACTCGGCCCTCCCGACCCCCTGCACCATAAGAAAGAGTTTTACAATGACGAATGAGCTCTCTCGCACACGCAAGATTCACACGACAGACAGGGCATGCGAAGGTGTATCATGCACTTTGTGCCACCGTTGCGGAGTGAGTGCCTGAATGCGACAAGGACCGTTCACGTATCACTCCCGTGTGCATTCCCCCTCTGCCCTCGTGTACAGTCTCCCTCTCCCCTCAGAGTGGCGGTGGAGATGGAAGGACGCCGTTCGCATCGCGATCGGCAGCCCTCAGTTTGCCGTGGAGCTTCCTCTCGAGCGCGGACACCTTGCCGTCCCCGTCGACGTCGGGATCGAGAGAGTCGAGCTGGATGCCATTGGGGGGTCCCGGCAGCACTGGGGGGGGCATGGCGAGTGCGCGCCCTCAAAGATGGGGGGCATCGCGCGGCGGAGCCCGTCGCGCCCTCTGTGGTTCTGTAAATAACGTGTGGGCCCTCAGCAGAGCTGGGAAGAGGACCGCCGCAAGCGGCGTGGCGTGGAGCGGTTGTGCATCCCTCCGGGGGCCCCTCTGCGCCGGGGAGGCGTTGTTGGAGGCTAGGACGCAAGCGTCCGTCGCCCTTTTCAAACTCGGGGCCCACTCCGCTACGCTCCGACCCGAATTTGGAGGGCCTAAAAGTTTAAGGTGTTGCTGCGCAAAAGGGGTCGGACACCGGGCGCAGCTCATGCTAAGAGCTAGAAGAGGAGATAGAGAGAACAACCACCCTGTCCCGTTATTGCGTACACCAACACCACAAAACGCTCTCTCTCTCCTGTCCTGAAGGGCGTCCTCGCTCCCGCTTCGCTAAGGCGGGCTCTCAAGCAAAAACGGCTGTACACCGCCGAATATTTCTCGGATTTATTTTGCATGACCTGGTGCCCAGTGTCGTGCGAGGGGAGTTTTGTTGTAAAATTCTTTGCCTTTTGACCCTTGTGTTAGTGCTAGAGTGCTAGCACCGCGCGGCGCCGCCGCCGCCAGTGGTCCGCACACCTGTGTCGAGCCTACTGTCTGACACCATGTCCATGACAAATCGGACCAGGTACCGTCTACCGACCTCGCATCGATAGGAGAGATATGCGAGGCAGGTGTGAGTTCGAAATGGCGCGTACGGCAAAACGAAAAACGTGGAGAATGTGAATGAGCAGTCCCCGAGCCACCGTGCACCGAATGCTGAGAATCAGGAGTCCACTGGATCGAGAGGGGGGGGGGGGGCATGGGGGTAAAGCCGATACACTACAGTGGGGGCTCGTCGGGCGGCGCGTCTCGGGTCGCGGCCTCGGCGGCTCCAGTCTGCTATATCGAATCTCCCCAGGAGATCAGCGGGAGATACAATTCGCAGCGAAATGGAGAGCTACGACAATAATCGCAAATATCGCTGCAGATGGGATCATAGGAACGTACTGGCTACTGCCTGCAAGCACAGAGACCGTCGAGGAGCGCGCCACCGCGCGGAACGCCTGCATGAGTGCGCGGCTCTTTCACGCCGGCTTGTCCTCAGGCCCTGGGCGCAATCTCCGCGGCGCTGCGAGGGCGCGGAAGCTGTCCTGGATCGAGGCAAGGGCGGGTTGCGCCTCCTTGAAGCGCGAGCCGAGGCAGCTGGCGACGAGCACGTACACCGAGCCTCCCGCCGCCGTCGCCGAGACGAGCGCACGCCTCCGCACGGTGTTCTGGTTGTACGTGAGGACGTCAAAGCGGAGGCTCAGCCGTCGGTACGGCTGCTCACCGCCCGACGGGGACGAGAGGAGCGCCACGCCGCTCTCCGCGATTGCAAAGTCGTCGACGCCGCCGTACGCGCCGTACTTGCCGTCGCTTCGGAAGAGGAGCTCGGCAAAGAAGCTGCGAGGCAACGTGTCCAGAGCCTGGCCGCTCGGCAGAGGAGCGGCGAGCAGGTAGGCGCTGTCCGACGTCCGGACGTCGCGGACGTCCAGGTTTGGGCCGCCCGCCACGGTCCACTCCTTCGGGTAGGCAAACGACACGTCCACAGTCGACCCGTCTGCGCTGCGAACGCCGTCGAGGATCGCTCCAGGCTTGAAGACGGGGCTGTCGCTGCCAACGCGCTGCACGCCACTCTCAGCACGCTTGCGGATCATCGTGTTTGCTCCACGGCCGCCATCGGCTCTCGCGCCAGCGGCGTAGGCGGCGGCCAGCTCGTCGGCGGTGGCCGTATCAGGCACGCCAGATAGAGCCGCGCGCGACGGCAGAGGCGGCTGTGCCGCGCCGAGGAGCACGGCCGAGAAGAGCGCGGCGCGGCGCTCGAGCAGCCTCATCGAGGTGGAGACAAGTCCCATCGGGCGACAAGTGAGCAGGCAGACTCACCCTTGTGCCAACCCCCCCTGCCCTTTGCCCCCCCCGCCCCATCGCTCCCCCTCTCACCCACTCCCCTCCTCGCCCCAGCTCGACGGCGAGTGGGCACCGGCACGCGAGGCCAAGGCGGGCCCCTCTTCAACGTGGCTCTTGGAGCCTGCCTTTATGTCGACGCCTTCTCGGAGGACGGAGCCGCTCCCCGTAGGCTGGCTCGCGCCTCTCCAACGGCCGTACGGTCGAGCGCGTCACCGACGCCCGCAGCGGCATCATCAACCCGCTCACCGCCTCGGGCACCATCCTCGCCAACGGCGTCGTCGCCTCCGTCTACCCCGAGTGGATTTCAACGCACATGCTCTCCTCCAAGCTGTACCCGCTGCCGCTCTCGGCGTGCAACCTGCTCACCTACCTCTTCCCGGCGCCGGCGCAGACCTTCTACGACGCCGCCATCGAGCCGCTCTTCGACGGCGGCCGCGCCACGTACCGCAAGTACCTCGAGGTGGTGCCGCCCGCCCTCGTCACGCCGGCCATCGCCGCCCTCGACGGCCTCATCGCCGCCGCCTTTGTGCTACCGCCGGCGCTCGTCGTCGCCGCGCTCGCCGTCGCCACGCGCGGCCCCCGCAAGTGAACGGCGCGAACACGGCGCGGGGGGTATATCGCGCCGCACGAGGAGAGCCTTTCTGGAGGACGCGTAGCAAGACCCCCCCCTCTCCTCACGACACGGTAGTTAGTATACCGTCCCGCGGATACGCGCGCGTACGGCCGCGTACCCCTCGCGCCCGCGCGCGCCGTTGCAGCAGCTCCGACCCACCCACTCCGGCTCCCGACCGCGCGGCGAGCAAGAGGAAGAGCAGGCGCCGCATGAGCCCAAATCGCTTACCCTTCCGACCTCCTGTGCGAGGGAGTCTCATTCTTTTTGTTCCAGCGGCCGCACTGCCACTGCCGCAGTGCCACTGGGTTCGGACTCCTTGCCGTCTGCAGCTCCTATGGGGTTCCCAAAACTCCCACAAAAAATCGGCGCCGTTAAGGTTCCCCATGCCAGTTTCGGGGGGCAAACCCCGCCCGCCCCCTAGAGCCCCAGGTAAGGCCCAGGTGTGGCCTAGGGCATCAGAAGGGACCAAGAGGAGTCCAGTCTGAGCCATAGAGCCCATGTCTTTGCCCCCGAAGGTCGCGTTCAAAATGCCCGGAACGGACGTTACAGTGGTGTCCGGCCGGCGCGATCACCGAGCTGTGACGCTCAGGGAAGCCTGATGAGGTACTGGTTTCTTTGCCCAGGCCTGGCCTACGGCCCGTGCTGGATCAGCTGAGCAAGGTTTGGGGAGAATCCCCCGGTCAGATCTTCAGATATTTTGACGGATGACCGAAAATGGGCAAAAACGTAATCCGCGTCTCGCGCTGACTAGGCGCAGCAACCAGAGGGCCGAGCCAGCGGCGCCGCTGTCGCCCATGAGCAACGAGTCCACCTCCCTCCCTAACGCCAGTGGCGCCCTTCTTGAGACTACCATCCAGACTGGATTGCCAACCGTCATAGGCCCCTGCGGCCTCAATGTGCAAAAGCAGTGCGCAACGAGCCCAGGCTTTCTAGGTATGTACTCATCACTCCAACGATGCACAATCAGAGGCTTGCCGGCCGTTCCGCTCAGCGTGCTTGTCTTTGACGTGGAGCGGAGCAGAACGGGCCTATGCGAGTACGACTTCCTCACAGTTGGCGGCGAGCGGTTTTGCGGGACGAGTGGCCCGGATTGGGTTGTGGCCTGACCGCGGCGGCGATTGCGAGGGCGCGCAGGCTGTCACGCGCCGCTGCTCGCGGACCCGCCGGGGGCAGGTGCTCAACTACATGTACACCGCGAAGTGTTATCCTTGTCGCATTCACACAGACACACACACACGACACACCACCGCCCCGCACGCGTCTGCGGGAGTTTTTCTTCTATTGCCATGGAGCGACCGTTTACGGACAATAGCACCGTACTGCTGCACCAGCTCCTCCCAGCGCAGCAGTCGAACAAGTGGAAGAAACAGTGGTCTGCATTCCTACGCACATGGCGGCAGCCGGGCGTCCGCGTGCTTCGGTGGCGCGACGCCGACCTGCAGCCTCTAGTTCGGCGCGCCTTTCCGCACCTGGCCGCACGAATCGGCCGCATGCGCACACCGATTGAGAGGGTCGACATGGCACGGTACGCGCTGCTATACCTCTACGGCGGAGTCTACGCAGACGCAGATGTGGCGCTCCTCTCGCTGCCGATGCTGCGGTGCGCCATTCGCGATGCAGAGCTGACGCTGCCGTGGGAGAAGGAGCGACTGATTGGCCAGTCGATCATGATTTCCCGCTCGCCCCGCCACCCCTTCTGGGCGAGCCTCGCGAAGGAGCTCGTCGCGAGATACAACCGTGCCTGCTACGAGCCGGACAACACCGGCCCGGACGCGCTGACCCGCGCGTGGCCCAAGCTGTGCCTCGACGGCCCGCGAACGCCGCTCAGACTGCACCGCGGCCTGCTGGCCGGGCCCGTGGCGCTGCACGGCATGACCGGCGCCTGGCGCAATCAGGCGAGTGTTGCGCGAAGGAAAGGCCGGCTGGGCTGCCCGTCCAACGCGGCGCTGCCAGCGATGCCGAGAAAGTGCGTGGAATTTGGCGAGAGCTGTGGCTCCAACCGTAGCCTTGCGCTAGCATCGCTACCGCGCCACCTCGTCACGCCCGCACTGGCGCGGGAACGGCCAGCCCGCGGATGAGTCGCGCGTGCGGATGCGGGCTTCGTTGTAGTTAGGTCAGGCGAGAAAAAAATTGCCCTCTTTGTGATTGGGCTACCGGCTAGTTCCAATTCTGAATTCACTCCTGACACGCTAATCTTGAAAACGCGTCCAACGGAGCTCCGTGTTGCTCCCAGCGCCCTCCCCCGAGCTTCCTGCGGCCATGGCCGGTGCTACTAGTATGGGGGGCTACCTGGCTACCGCGAGCGCGACCCAACTCGTCGACATCGTCCGATGATGGTGCCGCAAAGTCAGCCTCCGGAGGCTATCGTGGGGTCGAGCCGGCAGTAGCCGCGACATGTGGTTCCACCACCCCTCGTAGGCTTTGCCTCTGCTCGCCACCGTTCCCATGCTGCCTAATGGGATGGAAAGGGAGGCTGGGCGAGCGTATAGAAGCGTGCTCGACCTCGTCGTGGCAACCTGCACGGCAGCGCTGGTAGGCGCGATGAGCGTCGTGCCACTTGACCCAAGACGGGTCGCAGGCGTCGTACCGAGCGCGTCGAGACCGTGTCCTGATGTGATCTGCACGGGTGAGTCACGTCGGCGTCAAAGGAGCGACGTGCGACCTGTCAGAGCTTGAATCTCCGATCTCAGCGGCGTCGAGTCATCTCCGGCGCGCGACAAAGGTACATCCACAGGACGCGCAGAGGCAGCTGCGATCGGAGTGAGAGGCTCTGACAGGTCGCCCGCCGCTCCTCTGACGCCGAGGTGACTCAGATGT